TCCCAGCACCATCAGCTCAACTGGTTTTAGTGCCAGTTCTCCTTCCGAGCGAAAAAGGATCAAACCTCGAGGAACATTCCCAGGTTGGCTCCGACCTTTTCCTTTCTCTCCCTGGTCAGTCAGGGGTTAAACTGTTCGAAGCCGGGGGGTTTTCTGCCCCTTCCTCACCTGCTTCTTGACGCTGTCGATCTCGGAGCGCAGCCGCTGCACGTGCCGGTTGAGCTCGGAGATCTCCTGCTTGGTGTTCCTGAGGTCGTCCCCGTGCCTGCCGGCCGTGGCCTGCAGCTCCTCGTACTGTCCGGGAGAGGGACGACCCATCAGGGCAAAATCTGCCCCCTTTGGAACCACCCCGGGCTGCTGGGACCCCCTCCCTGAGCCCACGGGACCCCCTCCCTGAGCCCACAGGAGCCCCTCCCAGGGCCATTGGAGCCCCTCCCTGAGCCCATGAGAGTCCCTCCTGGAGCCCACGGGACCCCCTCCCTGAGCCCACGGGACCACCTCCCTGAGCCCATGAGAGTCCCCCCGGAGCCCACATTAGAGCCCCTTCCTTATCCACGTGGACCCCCTTCCATGACCCACGGGACCCCATCCCTGACCCACAGAGCCCCTCCCGAGGCCCACGACCCCACTGCGGCCCTGAGCCCATGAGATCCCCCCTTGACCCAGGAGATCCCCTCCCTAGCCCACGGGACCACCTCCCGAGCCCACGTTACCGAACCCTCCCGAGCCCACTGGACCCCCCGCCCTGATCCAGCGGGATACCCTCCCTGAGTCCACGGGACCCCCTCCCTGAGCCCACGGGAGCCCCTCCCTGAGCCCACGGGACCCCCTCCCTGAGCCCACGGGACCCCCTCCCTGAGCCCACGGGAGCCCCTCCCGGATCCTGGCCCTGCAGCCAGAGCCGAGCTGTGCAACGGGACCCCCGAGGAGGTTTTCTGGGCCGAGCCGGGGTTTGTCTGTGTCTGTTCCAGACAAGATGCGGAGATTCGAGCGGGGAACCCCCCGGGCCCTTCACCTTGGTCTGGTACCAGGACTCGGCCTCGGCGCGGCTGCGGTTGGCGATGTCCTCGTACTGCGCCTTCACCTCGGAGATGATGCTGTCCAGGTCCAGGTTCCGGTTGTTGTCCATGGTCAGCACCACCGAGGTGTCGGAGATCTGGGTCTGCATCTGGGACAGCTCCTGCCAAGCGCACGGCGGGAGGTGATTCCTCGGGAGAGGCCTTTCCCTGCTCCCGGGCGAGGGAGAGGCGGCTGCAGATTGGGATCTGAACAGCTCAGGTGTGGCCCCAGAGAGGGAAAGGATTTGGCACCTCCCGGGGGGAGAAATCTGGGGCTTTCGGGGGAATGGGGGCAGAGGAGCTCTTAACGAGGGTTGGGGTGGTTTTGGACTCACGGCCTCGTAGAGGGTTCTCAGGAAATTAATCTCTTCGGTCAGAGCGTCTGCCTTGGCTTGTAGTTCCACCTTGTTCATGTAGGAACCATCCACATCCTGGGGGACGAGAGATTTTTGGGTGGGTTAGACCCCCACCAGCAAACCAGGAACAGGCACAGCTGCAGGAACGCTCCAGGGAAGAGCCACAAAACCAAAAACTAAAGGGGGCTGGAATAGGAATGGATGGATCTACGGATGGGTTTGTGCCTGGGAGGGGAGTTAGAGCTCCACAGGCAGCCGTCCCTTGGTGTTCTGGAACGTTCCCTCACCTTCTTGAGCGTCACGAACTCGTTCTCGGCGATGGTCCTCCTGTTGATCTCATCCTCGTACCTGGGGCAGGGAGGCAGGAGGAGCATTTGTTTGGGCAGGAGCAGAGGGAGGTGATTTTACCTCGCAGGAATGAACTTCCTCAAGAGCGTTTTGCATACGAGGCTCTTTTCTCCCGCAGCAGAGACCACGAAGCCGAGCCAGTTAAAACAAGACATCAAACCCATCCGAGCAGATCCCTCATTTTCCACTCGTTTCTGGCCATTACTCATCCTCTCCTGCTGCTGATTTCAGCAAACCAAACGTGCTGCCCTGAAACTCCCCGTGCAGTTGTTTTCTCTCTCAGGAGGCAATTTAGTTAATAAGCCTTTGATCCTGCTCTAAATTACCCCCTGAACGTTCGGTGTGTTTGGATGTGTTACCCCGTTACCGGGAAAACTTCTCCTTGGGAAAATTCCTCCCGGAGAAAAAAAAAAACAAACCATCCCAGCTTTCCCTGCCGGGAATCCCAGGGTTTCCCTGGGGCTCCCCTGGGTCCCCCCAGCTGGTTTGAGGGTGGGGAAAGGGCTGCACCCCCCAGCACCCCCAGACTTACTTCTTCTTGAAGTCCTCCACCAGGTACTGGGTGTTGAGCAGCTCCCCCTCCAGCCGCCCCTTGTCGCTCAGGAGGCTGTTGAGCTGCACCCTCAGGTTGTTGATGTAGGTCTCGAAAAGCGGCTCCAGGTTGTTCCTCACGGTTTTCATGCCCTGCTCCTGCAGGAGGCTCCACTTGGTCTCCAGCACCTTGTTCTGCTGCTCCAGGAACCGCACCTGGAAAAGAGGGGTGGGAAGGGGGGGAGGTTGTGGGAGCTCAGAACCAGCTCGGGGGTGAGGGGGGGAGGTTGTGGGAGCTCAGAACCAGCTCAGGGTTGGAAAGGGGAGGAGGTTGTGGGAGCTCAGAACCAGCTCGGGGTTGTGGAGCTCAGAACCAGCTCGGGGTTGTGGGAGCTCAGAACCAGCTCAGGGTTGGGAAGGGGGGGAGGTTGTGGGAGCTCAGAACCAGCTCGGGGTTGGGGGGGGTGGGTTGTGGGAGCTCAGAACCAAGCCGCGGGGTTAGGGTAGTTGTGGGAGCTCAAACCAGATCGGGGTGTGGGGAAGGGGGGATGTTTGTGGGACTCAGACCAGCTCGGGGTTTTGGAGCTCAGGACAGCTCAGTTTTTGGAAGGGTGGAGGTTGTGTGGAGCTCATAACCACTCGGGGGTGCGGTTTTGGTTTGTGGAGCTCAGAACACTCGGGGTGAGGGGGGTGAGGTTGTGGAGCTCAGAACCACTCGTGTGGTAAGGGTGGAGGTTTGGTGGAGCTCATAACCACTCGGGGTGAGGGAGGGGGAGGTTGTGGGAGCTCATAACCACTCCAGGTTGGGAAGGGGGGAGGTTGTGGAGCTCAGAACCAGCTCGGGTTGTGGGAGCTCAGAACCAGCTCGGGGTTGGGGGGGGTGGGTTTCTCCTTCCAGCTGCTTTTCTCGGCCCAATTCTCGCCTGGCAGGGGCACAATTTGCTGTTTGGGGGCAGGGACCCTGCTCAGTGCCACAGACTCTGGAACCACCCTGATTTTCTTGCCTGCCCCTCGTTGCTTTGCTAAATCGTGGATTTCGTGTGAGGAGTGTGTGCAAAATCAGATAAGGAGCAAAGCAGGGCTTGTTCTTTCATTAAAATAACGTTATTAAGGTGTGTTTTCTCCTTGCCTTCGTTAGAGTTCTCCCACCCCACTAAAGCTCCAAAATATTGCAGCGTTTTCCTCCAAGCCAAAGAGGAGCTGCTCAAGCAGAGCAGGAGCGGAGCAGATTTCTGGTTCCTCGGTGAAATGGGCAGTGCTGGATCAGATTTTGACCTATTTTGAGCTGAAAACCCCAAACGTTCTGGTGCTGTTGCAATGACGGATTTAAATGCCCTTGAGGGAATTCAAGCAACAGGAGCTGCTTCTCCCCTTTTGCCAATTTTTGGGGTCATTTTCGGTGGGTTTCTTGCGTCTCACTTTAATCAGCTGAAAATCTGTTCTCGGGGCTCAGTGGACAGAGGCAAAAGTCTCCAGAAGGGCGGGATTGTCTTCCGGAGCTTCCCTTTCCCCACTGCCCGTGGGACGAGGAGGATTAAAGGAGGTGATTAATTCCTGGCAACCACGGGGTGACAGGTGCCATTCCCTGGAGTTCCCGGGGCATCTTCCAGCCTCATCCCTCGCTTCTATTCCTCCTTGATGTGCCCGTCAAGCACGAAAAAACCCCCCCCGGGGCAGGATATTCCGGGGAGAGCCCGGGTCTCACCTTGTCGATGAAGGAGGCGAATTTGTTGTTGAGGGTTTTGATCTGCTCCTTCTCCTCCTTCCGGATCCTTTGGATGTTGGGGTCGATCTCCAGGTTGAGGGGCTTCAGGAGGCTCTGGTTGACGGAGACTTCGTGGATCCCCCCCGCCGGGAAGGCGGGGTACCCGTAGCCGAGGTTGGCGAAGCCGCCCCCGTAGGCGCTCCCGGCTCCGTAGAAGCTCCCACCCCTCCCAGCCACGGAGATCTTCTTGCAGCCGCCGACGTTGTAGAGGCTCTTGCTGCCGAAGCCCCCCCCGACCCTGGCGAAGCCGCTGCCGGCGCCGCAGCCCCCCAGGCGGGTGACGGAGCAGGAGCTGAAGCTGGTCCGGCACGTGCCGGGCACCGCGGCCGAGGCGGCGCTGAAGCCGCTCCGGCCCCGCTGGATCCGCACGGTGGACTGGCGAGACATGGCCCGGCTGGGTTTTTGGGGTTGGGATTGGGATTGGGATGGATGGATGGATGGATGGATGCTGCGGCGGGAATAGAGGAGCGGAGGTGCTGGCCCCGAGCGAGGAGTGGGCGGGATGAGGAGAGGGATGAACCTGTGCCGGGCACGGGCTGGGAGAGCCCTTTTATGCCGGGCTGGGCTGGGTTGGCTGAGGTGGATCTCCCCTCTGATGAATTCGGCTTGGCATGTCCGACAGCATTCTGCAGGGTGAACTCACCCCCACACACGCCCTGCTGAGACAATGCAGGAGGTTCTCAGCAACAGGGATTGTTTGGGAATAACTGTCGCCTTCTCCTGCCTCTGGAGACATCCAGACTCGTCGCCTTCCCCGAGCCCTGGAAGGTGAGGATGAGTCACGGCGGGCACGGGGAGAAAACACCGTTCCGAGCGCCTGTCACTCAACAGCTCTGCCTCGGGAAAACTCCATCCCTCGGGAGTGCTCCCAGCCCTTCTTCTGTTCCCAAGCAGGGCTTGGGAAAGTCCAGACCCTGGTGCTTCAGGAGAGGGGTCGGTGCCGGGCGGGGAAATGTTGCACAGCCAAGCTGCAGAGAATTCCCCCTGCAGTAAATTCAGTTCACTCTGCAGAGAATTCAATTCACTCTGCACTGAATTCCCCCTGCATTGAATTCACTTCGCAGAGAATTCTCCCTGCAGTGAATTCCCCCTGCAGTAAATTCACCCTGCAGGGAATTCAATTCACCCTGCACTGAATTTTCCCTGCCCTGAATTCCCTCCCTGCAGTAAATTCACTTTGCAGTGAATTCAATTCACTCTGCATTAAATTCACTTTGCAGTAAATTCACTTTTCAGTGAATTCAATTCCCCCTGCCCTGAATTCCCCCTGCACTGAATTCACTTCGCAGAGAATTCTCCCTGCAGTGAATTCACCCTGCAGGGAATTCAATTCACTCTGCACTGAATTTCCCCTGCCCTGAATTCCCCCTGCAGTGAATCCTCCCTGTGGTAAATTCACTCTGCAGTGAATTCAATTAATTCTGGACTGAATTCCCCCTGCAGTAAATTCACTTCACAGTGAATTCAATTCCCCCTGCCCTGAATTCCCCCTGCAGTAAATTCACTTTGCAGTAAATTCCCCCCTGCCCTGAACTCCCCCTGCAGTGAACTCCCCCTGCAGTGAATTCCTCCTGCCCTGAACTCCCCCTGCCCTGAACTCCCCCTGCAGTGAATTCCCCCTGCCCTGAACTCCCCCTGCAGTGAATTCCCTCTGGACTGAACTCCCCTTGCCCTGAAGTGTTTTACCCTGGGGGGGGTCTCTGATACGTGATTTGTGATAAAATCCTTCTGAGATTTGCCCAGAGAGGTTGTGGAATCCCCATCCCTGGAAGTGCCCAAGGCCAGGTTAGAGTCACCTGCTCTGGGGGAAGGAACTGGGGGGGCTTTCAGGTCCCTCCCACCCCATCCCATCCCATCCCATCCCATCCCATCCCATCCCATCCCATCCCATCCCATCCCATCCCATCCCATCCCATAATTCCATGTCCTGCCCGGTCCCCTCCGAGCCACCACGGGAATCTGCAGGAATTTGCTCCCACTCCAAAAGATCAAAGCTCAGCTCCCTCATCCCTGCTGAAAATCCTCCTTTGGAAGAACAATTCCGGGATGGAACTGAGGAGTTTGGGGGAGTCCCTTCTGTTCCTGGGAGTGCCGGGACAGCCGAGCTCTGTTCCCAACCTGTGCTGCTCCCTCGGGACCTTCCCTGGGCAGCAGGAAAACCCCCAACCAACAACCCACCGAGGAACAAAGAGCGGGGCAGGTTGTGGGAACGGGAACTGCTCTGACGCCTCTCTGGGAGGATCCATTCCCTATGGAAATGGGGCTCTTCCCAACACCCAGTTCACAACCACGGGGTCATTCCCCGAGGATTTCATCGGCTCTTCCAGCACAACTGGGATCCTGCCTCCTTGAACCCATCAGAGAATCAAATCCACCCTCTCCAGGATTCCCTACAGGACACAGAAAGACATCCCGGATCCGCCCTTTCCCGGCACAGCCCCTTGCAGGTGGTTTGAGTGACAAATTAAGCAGAAATGTCTAAACAATAATTCCTTTTGAGGGGACAAGAAGGAGGTTCCTGCACCCCCTCGTGCTGCGGGTTGGTCAGGGAAGGATGATCCGTGTTTAATTCCCTTAAACAAGAGGGGGAAATCGGAAATGTGTCCCCCTGAGCAGCTTCCCCTCGTGCTGTCTGTGGGTCTGAGCAGCTGCTGCAGCACAGGAATAATCCAATAATCAGGAATCCCCATAAAATCGAGGAACTACCCCGGTGGGGGGTGTTGTCCTTCCGTCTGTGGTCGGAGCAGGAGATTCCCAGGAATATTCTGTGTCCCGTCGTTTCCCCCGCTGCCCAACGGACAAGGCTCCAAATGGAGGTTTTTAAATGAAGGGGGGAAATAAATAACGATTTTGGGTTGGGTTTGGAGTTTATTTCCAGGCTGAGCTTTTATTGCAAGGAAGGGCTTAATCCCGGAGCTTTTGTCTCGTTGGGGCTGACGTTCCACACCCACGGGAGCTGGAAGCAGATGGATTAACAAACCACAGGGCTGTGTCCAAAAGGCATTTTTGGAAGGATTATTGCCCGGCTTTGGGGTTTTCCTCGCCAGCTGACAGAGGATGTCACGACCCGGAGGCACGAGGTGGATTCCCCCTCACGCAAAGCGGGCATTCCAGTCCCACAGTCAGAGATTTCCAGCTGAGAGAGGGGGAAATCAGGAGAGTTAGGGAAGGAATTCCTCCCTGGCAGGGCGGGGAGGCCCTGGGATGGATTTCCCAGAGGATGCCCCATCCCTGGAAGTGTCCAAGGCCAGGTTGGATCCGCCTGGGACAGGGGAAGGTGTCCCTGCCCACGGCAGGGGGTGGGATGGGATGAACTTTCCCACTCAAACCCATTCCGTGACCGTGAGATCCTCAAAGGCAGACGGAATTCCTCCCGGGCGGGAGCTGCTCTGTCCCTTCCATCCCCCTCCCCTCCCTCCGACCACCCCACAGGCTCCTCAATCCCACGTTTTTCCCAGCGAAATTCCCCACCGGACCCCGGATCCTCCCCTCCCGAGGGATCCCAGCCCCTGGAATTGTCTTTTCCCCCCTCTCCCAGCACGACGTGGGGAGCTCGTGTGGCCGAGCCAGGGCGTGCAGGGCTGAAATCCCCCCCCCGTTCCCAGGAGCCCGATGAGTCAGCGCTTCCCTCTCCCCCCTCGGGCTCCTTTTGCACCAGAAACTCGGCTTTTTTTGGCCAAAGAACGCGGCGGCTGCGTGTTATTAACAGCAGTAATAACCACCCGGCTCCTGCGGCCCGGCGAGAGGGAATTCATCGCTCCCCGTGCCCGCTCCCCGGGGTGGAGGTGATGCGGTTGTCGCTCACCTGGAAGGAATTTCCCAGGTAATTACAGGAGGCAGGACCGGCAGCGCCAGGAGCTGCAGCGGCAGGTTCGGGGGCCGGGCCGGTGGGAAGGGGGGTCCCCACCCCGGGCCCTGTTGGGCAAACAAAGAGGGTTTCCAGGTGACTCCCGCGGGAGTGTCTCCAGTGGGGCTCCGGAGCGGGAATTCGCTCCTTTTCCTCCTCCGGGGGTGGTCCCGGAGCGGGAATTCGCTCCTTTTCCTCCTCCGGGGGATGGTCCCGGAGCGGGAATTCGCTCCTTTTCCTCCTCCGGGGGTGGTCCCGGAGCGGGAATTCGCTCCTTTTCCTCCTCCAGAGGGTGGTCCCGGAGCGGGAATTCGCTCCTTTTCCTCCTCCGGGGATGGTCCCGGGGCTCTCTCGCTGCTGAGGAGCTTTTCCCCCTGATCCCCCCGCAGGTCCTGCCAGGGCTGAGCCCCCCCGGCGGGGCAGAGCTTGGACGGGCTCTGAATCCTTTTCCATCCCTTCCCCTCCTCGTGTCTTCCCTCCGGGACGAGCAGAGGGTGCAAGGCCCAGCCCGAGAGGCAGGAGAACCCTTTGCAGCACACTGTAAACCTGGGACTAAAGCCCTAAACCTGGGACTGAAGCCTTAAACCTGGGACTAAAGCCCTAAACCTGGGACTAAAGCCCTAAACCTGGGACTAAAGCCCTAAACCTGGGACTAAAGCCCTAAACCTGGGACTAAAACCCTAAACCTGGGACTAAAGCCCTAAACCTGGGACTAAAGTCCTAAAATTGGGACTAAAGACCTAAACTTGGGACTAAAGACCTAAACTTGGGACTGAAGCCCTAAACCTGGGACTGAAGCCCTAAACCTGGGACTAAAGCCCTAAACCTGGGACTAAAGCCCTGGCTGAGTTTGGGTCTGGCACCGTGCCGACATCAAGGCAATAACTCTCCTCTGGGATCAGGAGGTGAGTCCTGACTCCGTCAGGGCAACAAATGTGACTCCGGCCCCCATTCCGTGAGGAATTTGAGCCTTTTTGCTGTGTTTTAGTGAATCTGAGCGTTTTAGTGAGCAGGGACGACTCCCACAGCTTTGCCCCGGTCTCTCTCCATCTCTCAGCTCTGCTGCTCCTCTCCAGCATCCCCCTGGAAATCCTTCGCCTGCTGCAGCTCCTCAGACCCGGCAGCAGCTTTTGGACGTGTCTGTGAGTGTTTAGTTTGCAAAAATGCCCGTATTTGTGAGACGAGAGCGAGTCCAACTCCCTCGCGCTGGTTCACCTGTGCTGCTTAATCTCAGTTTAATTATCAGCAAAGCCAGGGCTGTAATTTGGGTTAATTGCTTAAATTAAAGCCTTTGGGTTAAACTCGGGCTTCTCACCTGCGTTCAAACCCGGCTCCTTTCAGCCCTAATTCGCTGTCTCATCCCACGTTCCCCAAGCCCTGCCGGTCACCCCGGGGGGTTTGAGGGGACACCCAGGACCCCTCGGCCTCCCCGGGCCCCCCCGAGACCTCCCGGGTGGGGGGAGTGTCCCCGAATCCCGTTTCCCCGAGGGATGGATCGGGACGGGCTCCTCAGCTGCTTTCCCACAGGAGCTGCCCCGTGCCGGCCGTTCCAGCCCTCGGAGCGTTCCCAGCTCCAGCTGCTGGGGCACTTTGAAGTGTAGGCGTGACCTGCTTTCTCCGGAGAGTTGTTTTCGGGGCCAGCACGGAGCCACCGCTGCAGCCCAGGCTCTGGGAACGATTCCC